AGTGCACTGACTTCTGAGTTAAACATGGTAAATTTGTTTAGTTTCTCACAATATATCACATTATTTAATAAATCTCTTGCTATCACAATGTGGTATATTCAAAAACGGCGACAAAACTAAATCGTTGTGAAGGTGTATGACGACGGCTAAGTTGTACGCCGGAAAAAAAAATGTCTGAGCGTTCCACTCGATACATAATTATGACCAGCGTTTTAGTTTACATTTTCGCCCCTACACACACATATATATATATATATATATATATATATATATATATATATATATATATATATATATATATATATATATATATATAGAGAGAGAGGTCCTAACTGAGCTGTGATCGAGGGATTCCATGTATGGATGTAATCTTATCTCATCTCCAGTTACAAAAAAATAAAATAAAACATCCTTGATAATGGCTAATAGGCTAGCTGAAAGCATCGGGACCCATATGAAATTTGGACTTTTTTTTTTCACACTATTTAGGAAATAAAATACTTGGGCGAATGGAAGAAAAAAAGCTTAATAAAAGTGACTTGTCAATCGTCTTTAATGAAACTTGTATAAAACCGTGATTACTACCAAAAAATACAATTATAAAAAATACACTTCTGCATCATATCATATGAAATTTGGGGTGGGCATGGCCCTCTCTTGACCCCAAACCCGCAGATTAGCCATTGTTTGTGATACCATGAGATGTCTCTTCATATTTTAGTAGCACTGGGGTTTCAAATATAAGGCTTTTCTCTACAAGTAGTTTAGTCTGTGTCACTTTAGTGTGTGATCTACATGCTGAATATGAGACCGTGTATTACATTAATATTTATAATGAGAAAGTAAGAATAAATGAGAAGTAATTTAAGGAATATCTTGTATAGCAAATTCTCTTTTAGGCATGTCTGAATAAATTAGACATTATGTCTGATAACTTTTCACAAAATCCGTTCATACCCACGAATAACCTTCCGTGTATTGAAGTTAAAGGATGAGAAAAATGTGCTATAGCTGTTTAACCGCATAATTTTCCTGTAAATAAAACCGATCGTGCTACTATTGTATGATATCTACTCTTCATTTTCTACCATGGTATGAGATTTAACAACTGTTGGAAGTATGAAATATCTTAGGGTTAGATTTAAAGGCAATCCTTAATAATTTTAAAAAAAAAAAAAAAAATAAATAAACAAATTCATCAAATGGTGATTTTAATGTTTGTAAACTGATTTGATATCATTTAAAAAAACAGTAAACAGGCCATCGTTTTTCCTGAGAATTTTCCAGCAATAATGAGTGCATCGCTATTTACCGGAGGTCGCAAATACCTCGGTAGATATCATAGTAGCACCATATAATATTTATACCACTACGTCGTAAATGAAGTACGGTTTATATATATATATATATATATATATATATATACACACACACATTATTCGGACTATTGTCCTCATCTTTGTCACCATATTTATCATAACGTTTCGGCCGTTGTACACTCCGGCCTTCTTCAGATGGTTGGAATGTCGAACTGAACCCTTTATTTCGCTCACAGTGTACAACGGCCGAAACGTTGTGATGAATATGGCGACAAATGAGGCAATAGTCCGAATATGTAAATAATGTACGTAATACCTCATCTCAGAGATATATATATATATATAGGTTGTATGAAAAATGCTTTACAAACCTTGGTGAGAATTTCCTCACATTAAAGTTCAAAAGTCCATATTTCCCGTCATATGTATCTTAATATATATCTTTTTTTTTTTCTTTTTTAAATGTTGATCACACGCTGAAGTGCCATCTACATATCTAACTTAAGTTATATTAATTGTTACCACCATACTTTTCTCGTGTGCAAAAACAGCGGGATGCTGTAAAGTACTTAGCCTGATAGACTTCTTAAAATCTGACCAGACATAATTGTTCTCTCCTAAGTTTTGCAGAACGATGCTTCTGTGTAGAGAGAACAAAATTCTTTTATTTATTATTACTAATTTTTATCTTAACCCCACCACGCGTCGTAAATGTGGACATCAGATTAATCAGGTCATATCTATCGTAAATCCATCATAATTTTTATACCACCTCGTCGTAAATAATGTCCGGTCATATCTTTCTGCCGTTTTCCTTATTTTTTTTATTTTTTTTTTATTTTTTTTTTATTTTTTTTTTATTTTTTTTTTTTTTATTTTTTTTAAAGTGTCCATCACGCACTTCAGTAGAATTGCGCATGTAGATCATATTCTTAAATTTAGATCACACTCTGAAGAATCATTCATGTAGAACAGGATGAAGAGACACCGTTATATATATATATATATATATATATATATATAATGTATGTGTCGTTTCTCATATAATCCTAAAGTGCCAGGAACTACCTACCTAGGTTTTATCTAAATGGATCTTTTACCCTGAAGATCCATTTAGGTGAAACCTAGGTAGGTAGTTCCTGGCTTTTTAGGATTATTTTATTCCTTTGCTCAGCTTAGCGTATTGAGCACTCTACGTTTTCTCTTAGTTACTCGCATGGGTTTTTTCGCCCTTTTCGAATGTTTCTAGTTTTCTCGATTTTTTTTCCCTCGGATACCAATTTGTTTTGATATACTTGCAAATTGTGCCATCCAAGTTTTTTTACCAACCGAGTATAATTATGTATCTATGTACGTACCTATCTATCTATTTCTGTATCTAAAAAAAAAAAAAAAGACATGTACGTTAGCCGAAAATAATCGGCCAGCATACGAGTTCAAGGCCCAAAGAAAAAAAAAACCCGATGCGAGTACCCAAATCAACTAAATCCTTCGATCTTCCCTGACGATCTGCTTAGGTGAAACCTTGGTAGGTTTGTCTGGCTCTCTAGGCTTAATAACTATAATATATATATATATATATATATATATATATACACACACACACACTATTTCTCTTTGTACACAGATTGAAATTTTATTTTCATCCCACCAGAAGTCGTGAATGATTTCCGGTGATATGTATTGTTTTTTTATGTAGTTTTCCTTATTTTTTAAAGTGCAGACCACACACTTCAGTAGAATTGCGCATGTAGATCATATTCTAAAAAGAATCATGTATGTACATCACATGCTAAGTGGCACTGAAATAAATATATATATATATATATATATATATATATATATATATATATATATATATATATACACACACACACACACTTATTCCATGTGCTAAACATTCTAATTTCCAACGAATCCCCAAATTTCACCACGTGTCGTAAATGAGTTTATCAGATCATCTCTGTCGCGCATCGATCATAAAATGTTTATACCACCTCGCCGTAAATGATTTCCGGTCATGTCTTTTTTTTTTTTTTTTTTTTTTTTTTTTTTTTTTCAAGTGTAGATCACAAACTCCAGTAGCCTTGCTCATGTAGATCATATTCTTGAATGTTGATTACACACGAAAGAAGAATCGTGCATGTAGATAACAGTGCCACTTTTGCATGTGATCTACAAGAACACAGTCCTACTAAAGCGTTTGACAGGCTCCTAATCCTGGCTTCGGGCGACACATAAGTAATAATCGTTTGTTGGGCTTTACTGAACTATTTCCGATTTTTAAGTTTAAATAATATCTACATTTTATATACGTAGTTATTTATTAGGCTTAGATTTTGCCTAGTTTATTACCTGTAGTTTTTCAACAGTAAATTCTACGTCTTGACACGACTGCGTTGGAACAAAAGTTCGTAGCGTTTTTTTTTTTTTTTTTTTTTTTTTTTTTTTAACTGGTGACGTTTCAACACTGGATTTCGTTCAGCATGTAACTGAAATTTATGATTCCGTATGTTCATATTCCGAAAAGGTCACATTTCAATCCGTTTTATTACGATATGTGTGTAAAATGGAAATTTTAGTTTCTACGTTACAAGTGAAAATGGAGGAAATTTGTGTGTGTGTGTTTTTTTGTGTGTGTGTGTGTTTTTTTGTGTGTGTGTGTGTTTTTTTGTGTGTGTGTTTTTTTGTGTGTGTGTGTGTGTGTGTTTTTGTGTGTGTGTGTCTTTTTTGTGTGTGTGTCTTTTTTGTGTGTGTGTGTCTGTTTTTGTGTGTGTGTTTTTTGTGTGTGTGTGTTTTTGTGTGTGTGTCTTTTTTGTGTGTGTGTGTTTTTTGTGTGTGTGTGTCTTTTTTGTGTGTGTGTGTTTTTTTTGGTTTTTTGTGTGTGTTTTGTGTGTGTTTTGTTTTGTTTTTGTTTTGTGTGTGTGTGTTTTGTTTTTTTTGTGTGTGTGTGTGTTTTGTTTTTGTGTGTGTGTGTGTTGTTTTGTTTTTGTGTGTGTGTGTGTTGTTTTGTTTTTGTGTGTGTGTGTGTTGTTTTGTTTTTGTGTGTGTGTGTGTGTGTGTTTTCCGGAAAGGTTGGGGGCGGAAATCTATACAAACAGCAAAAAGCATATGTACCGTTTTTAGAGATGGTGCCATATCTGAGAGTACTGTACATAAGTGGTTCGCTAGATTCAGAAGTAGAAATTTCCAAATCAAAACCATGATGAAGACTAATCCAAGTCAAACGGCTCGGAACAATGCAGATATACTCTAAATATCTCCCATGAGCACTGTTAGGCATTTAAAAACACTTGTTAGGATTCCCCACAATTTAAAGGAAAAAAATGAATGTACTACATTTCCATTTGCTATTCTCTGGTCTAACGCAGCAAAAACGACATTTCTTTGAAAGAACTATCACAGACGATGGTAAGTGAATTGTTTACACTTTCTTTGTAAAAAGAAATGAACCACTGTTAACCACACCAAAAGTCAATCTACATATGAAAAACGTTATGTTGTGCATCTGACAGGACTCCAAAGGTTGGTTTTGTTTAACGGCATATCAACGTCTATGGATTATTTAATGCTGAAATCTAAGAGAAGCGGTGAAATCAAACCTTTCCCAAGGGTATTTGCGAGTAAATAAAGAACTCAAGTGGAACTTTGCTTTCCTGTTAACAATTCAGTATATCCAAGTTTACAGCACCTGGTATTCCCAAGCGATCACCCATGAAGTTACTAACCAGGCTCGACGTCGGTTAACTTAGGTCATCCTACGGGAACCGGGGTTTCAACGTGATACGACCGTAAGCCTGTCGGGGAGTATAAGATATTTTCTAAAATCGGACGTTGAATTAATACAAGTACTGTTTTTAATTTGACCGATGACAAATCAGCAATCTGTGAAAAGCATCCAGATTGGCCAATCGGAAGGCACACGTCTTCTATCGGGACAAATCTAGCCCCAACGTCTCTGCGGACCCGGAAAAATTGTTATATCTTGGCTGGAATGTATTACTACACCCCTTATACCCACCTGAGTTGGCTTCTTTGGATTGCCACATATTTCGACCTTTCCAAAATTATCTTAATACAAAGAACTTCAATTCTCTGGGAGCCTGAAAAAAACATTTTGAAAAGAATTTTCACTCGAAAATATCTTAAGTTCTAAGAAGAGGGAATCAAGATGCCTCAGATGGCGAAAGATAGTGGAGCAAAATGGCATAGTTGTTTGAATGCATGTATATCTAAATATTGCCTTTGAAATACAGAAAAAAAAAATAAAAAAATAACGCTACGAACTTTTGTTCCGGTCCAATGTCTTTGAGTGGACGCAAGTGTAACTACTTCTTTCTCCTCTCTTCAATTTCCTTTTTCTCTGTGTTTTTCGGTTTGTTATTCACTGTTCTTTTATTTTGTCCCAACTCTCTCTCCAAGGTGCGGCTGGTATTTGAGGACAGATTTTATGGATTAGCAAAAAACTTGAACAAATGAATATAATTATATTTGATTACAAACAAGTAAACATGAAATTTAACTATTTAATTTTATTCAATAAAACACGAGGTTGAAATTGGCTGAAAGCTCTGATTAATTGGTCCTTATTTATATCAGACATTACTCGAACTATTGCAGCTTTAAGAGAGTCTTTGGTGTTATGAGGCTGTTTATTAACCTCCACACATAATAGTCTAGCGGATTGAGATCTGGAGAGTTAGGAGGCCAAATGTTAGGTGTGATGTGGTCGTACAAATGGTCAGCCATCCATTCTCATGTTTGCAAAACCTTGTTGGATGGAGCCGAGTCTTGCTGGAATATGTAAGGCCTGCCGTTGCATATGTTGTCAATCCAGGGCTTGACAACTGTTTCTAGAACCTCAATATAAGCAGCAGCATTTACTCTAAGACCTTGTGGAAAAAAGTGTGGTGGCATATGTCCATTGCTAACAACACCCAATACCTTAACACTTGAAGGAAATTTTGTGCGCAACATTCTTGGCACCTCAGAAGGATCTGAACAAAGCCAGCTGTCATTTCTTCTGTTAACTTTTTGATCTTGAGCAAAATTTTTCTCATCTGAGAAAAACCAAATCACACCAAATTCTGAAAGATTTTTAAATTTGTTTAAAAGCCTTTTGGGTGTGTTTAAACTGTTTTCTTTTCATCACGTAGGACTTGTATCGAATGCCTTCATGAACACTCCTGACAGTTTTTTCAGACACTTGCAACTTTTTGGTAATTACCCTCATTGATTGACGTCGGTTTTCATCAATTGTCTGCTTGACTTCCTGAATAAATTTGTATGTTCTCACTTTATCAGAACGTGCAGATTGCCTTTTACGTTTTGATATAGACATTGGGTAACTGTCAACGTCTTCTAACTCTTTTCGTATCTTGTGGACCAACCATCTTGCAACTTTGAGGAAACGTGCAATATCCAAATCGCTATGATCAGCCTTTAATGTCACAATCACAGAATGCCTTTTCATTTCATTTGTTATCATAGGGTTTGCCATTCTTGATTTCTGAAAAATAAAAGCATTAGAAGTCAGTGGGAAGCAGTATTAATCTTGAATCTGTATGTCCTCAAATACCAGCCGCACCCTGTATATATAATCTGTGTATATATATATATATATATATATATATATATATATATATATAAAAAATATTAGTCCGGGGAATTGTCTCCAGTTACTAAGAGACTTCGGTCTGAAGAGCTGAATATATCGATATTCACGAAATAAATTTTAACCGAAATGAAATTTTATATATAATATATATATATATATACCTTCTCAATACCGACTCTTTCGTTCCTTTTCTCTATCCTTTATGCATCCACCTCCACCACCCAACTCTTTATAGATACCTTTTTTTTTCTTTTTTTTTTTTTTTTTTTTAATCCGAAGCACCACCCTTCATTTTTCTCTGCATCCCTCTCTCCTCCCCACTTACTCTGTTTCTTGCGTTTATGACCCTGTCCGACATTGTTCACTTGTCTTATTCAAAATGGAACCGGAAAATAGGAGTGTTCGGGTTAGTGTGCGAATACAAGGGGAGACAACCAGAACAGATATTTTCTGTCCAGTCTGTCCACGTACCGACCCTTCCATTTGCCTCTCTTTTTTAATACATATGTGAACACTGAAAACCAGCCTCGAATTTATAGCCTTCCGGCCGTTACGGGTGGTGATAAGCCGTGACGTATAATGGTCGGCGGCTATCAGCTTTTATGCGACGATTTGTGATTTATGACTCGCAGAGGGTCGTGGGAGCGATAGATTCCTCGGTAACATCAGCAGGGGTACACACTCGGACATCCATTGCAATAGGCGAAGAATTGCGGGTGGCAAGTGGAAAGTGTGAGACTCTTGGGGAACGGGGGTGTGGCTCATAGACACCCGTAGGGCTCCCATGCCGGTTGCCCAGGTGAACAAAAAAAAAAAAAAAAAAAAACTTACGTATAAGCCTCATTAATTATTTGGGTGCAAAGGACAATCTTTTATTGCCGTCTTTATCAAAATCTTATTGTGAGTAATATAATGGTCTGTTGGTTTTATCATGGGTCTTTTCCATTAGTAATTTTAAAAAAAAATCTAGGGTGACGTCACTTTAAGATTGGGTATAGCAAACGCGATTAAATAGTCGTGTGTTTCAAAGCAAGAAGCTATCAATTTAGTTAAAATCTAAATCTAATACCTTTTAATTGGGATGTCTGTCATATTGAATACCTTTCTTCATACCTACCTTCGGTATGAATAACATTCTCATGTTAATATATTGCCTGTTACTAATTGCTACAGGGAGGGTATTGAAAAGTCTTCGGGCCAAGTCACTTCTATTATCTCGAGTGAGATATATATATATATATATATATACATATATATATATATATATATATATATGAGAGAGGTATATTGAAAAGTTAACTGTCCTACCAAGAAGATATTTTGGAAGTGGTTCGATCAGAAGTAAAAGCTGAATTTCAAAGCAGGTATGATCTGCATTCTTTGAACCTTGGTCTCTGACAATATTAATGTCCTCTTTCTTGTGACTTGGATATGGGTCCTACTAAGTTACGCTTAAAAAATAGCAAGTGTTTGTGACTTGTGAATTTGCTTTGTCTTTCAAATAATTTGTTTTTCATAAAGGTAATCTGCTATAAAGAGATAGGTTAAAAAGAAAAACGTCCTGGTTTATAGAAAAACGAGCAAGCCAGCAATCTGATCCCGCTTATGAACAATGATATGCCACTTTTCTATATCAGCCAGGAATTCCATTTAAGGATCTGAAATAATTATTCAGTATTTTTTGTGTGATTATTTTTTATTTTTTTATTTATTTATTTATTTTTTTTAACAAAATAGTCCAATGTCGTCAACCGAAAATATGTGAAGCTCAAATGTATTTTTTTTTTTCTTTTAAAATCAGTGAAACATTTTTTTTTATTTTGCGTTTAATATGCAAGTATTTACGTTTCCTCTTTATTGAATCTTTACAAAGCGAACCACTTGAATGGGGCAGACGTTTCGTGAATTTGTTGGGCCTTTTTTTTGTTTGTTTGTTTTTTGAAAGCTTATTTCTGGAAAAGAAACTCTTTGTTGACAAATTCAATTGCTCTCTCTGTCTCACTCGCTCGCTCTCGCAACGTATTAAATAAATTTCAAAAACAATAATTACATATTTGTACAGATGTATTTAGCCACAAATACGCCATTTTGTTCTACGACCTTTCTCCTCCTTTGAAGCAGATTCATGAAAAAAAACTTCAATTGTTTGGAAGTCTGTAAAGATCAGCAAAGATGCGAAGTTCCTCCCAGAACTTCGCATCTTTGCTGATCTTTACAGACTTCCAAACAATTGTTCTTCTCATTTATTTCGTAGGACTCGAAATAATTGGTAGTCTGGAGTTGTGCTGATGTAAAACAACTCATCCGATTGAACAATTCCCGTGTTTTAATTTCATCGACTGCAGCCATTTTTTTTTTTTTTTTTTTTTTTTTCGCTCCGGTTAAGAAGGGTACTTCTCTGATTTGATTGAGCTCATTATACACAATGCTTTGTGCATCTCACATGATGCACAGCATCATCCTTCTTGCAATGCTCTCCTATTCCGTGAATAGAAATATCGAATATTTGACATATGTTTCGGGTAAAACAGAATAGCAATCACCTTATATTTGCTGTTAGTTACTTCAGACCGATGTGTCATTTGGCTCAAATCAGTCGTGTTTCGCCTTTGGGACACAAACCAAACGTTGCTTAGTCTCCGGAGTTTCTAAATGCAACATCCCTCCATTGTGTTAAGAGCGCCGTAAATCGTACTGACTTCCTTTATGGTACAGGCCGCAGAGACTGGATAATTTTGCTCCCTATCCACACATAGGGTATCAGACTCTATATGAAACCGGCTGTATTTTATAATTACTCTGGAGTGGCAAATAACGTTATCAATTTCATGGATTTGGAGGAGTCTTTTTTTTTTTTTTTTTTTTTGCTGTTTTTCTTTTCTTTAGATGCGTTTTACACGCCGTTAATTGTTCATCTGTAAAAGTGAAATCGCACTTGTAACAAATCTTCTGTATTTTTCATACAGAAATGAAGTTTTTTTTTTTTTTTTTTTTTTTTTTTAAAAATAGGCTCGAGAGATTGAATTGTCAAATTTAATTGACCAATGAGAACTTTCGAAAAAGAACGCATCATTTTTGTCACTTGCAGACGATCTTGTTTAAAAAAAAGAATTAAACGATCAAACTATTGCAAAAACCGTGTCTTACACTATTCGGACTATTGTCCTCATCTTTGTCACCTTATTTATTACAACGTTTCTGCCTTCTTCGGGTGGTTGGAAAAAAATAAGTTTCTCAACAGTGTTAAAATCAGTGGTATCTATAAAAATGTTGTCAGCACTACACAACTTGTATTATATTCGTGTCGAATTTACCTTTTGCTGTATTACCGTTGTTACTGTAACGACTACATGCACAGATTTGCTTTCAATGAAATCATTGTTTTAAATATTCACATACACAAATGAAGGGAACTTCACGTATTAATACGAATGAAAAACTTTGACATGTGGTTTTTCTTAAAGAACTGTCGATATTTTATGTCTTATTTCGATATAATTATACCGCGCTATGAAATATTTAAAATATAAATTGATTAAATTTGGTCTGCCCTGTGAATATTAAATACTCAAAGACTTCTTTTCTCGTTGTCTTACAGCCATATCACGTTTAAACCTCAATTCTCGTACATTCACCGAAGTTAAACAACGCTGAGCCTAGTCGGCACTTAGATGATTAACTGCTTGTAGTTATTGTACTTGGATGTGCAGGTATTTTAATGGATAACGACTCGAAATTGGAATTCGGGTTCGTTATATTCATTTACACGCAATTACCCTTGGAAAAGATATGAATCGACTTCTCCCCTCAACTATGGGTTAATTAGTAGGACTTTTTTTTTTCTTTAACAGCAACGTTCGTGATTGGTTCCGATGTTTAAACTTTATTTTATTTTTAGGGATCTATTTTGAAGGCCGGATGCGATGCTCGGAGCCAATTTGCAGAAAGCGACTTTTACATTTTCTATTTATTTTGCTTTCTTAGCCTACATATACGACCGACAGTTTTTGATGTGAATCGGGAGGTTTAATTTGAAGCAATGTAACAACGATTTGGGTGATCATGCCTCTCCACAGCTTCCTGTTCTTTATCACTAAGAATCTATTACCAACGCTGCTATCCATTTACACAAACTGGTTAAGTAAGTTACGTTGTTTTTTTTGTTTTTTTTCTCTGACGCTCTTGCTTTCATTATTTCCTGTGAGTATTAGAATCTCCAAGCCTTCAATCTTCATAATTTTCCAGAAATTTCAAATATATTTGAGAGTAAGTGTCCTTTTTGTTTCCACTTCCCTTTAAAATCTTCCCGTTGCTCATCAATGTCGATGATATTCTCGGTCGCTTCAAATCTCTTCACTGAGGGAGACTGTCCAGCATTCACTGCCGTAGGGAAGATTATACATCAGACAGCAGTTAAGTCGTCGCTTTGATTCTCAGGCTTACTGACACATGTTGAAACACCGTAGAAAACAGTCCATCTTTGTTTTTCAGATTTTCTATTTCTTAATACGTTGTTTAGTTTCCGAAAGGCATTTCTTGCAATTTCTATGCAACTTTTATTAATTTATATATAGCTTTCTTTTGGTTACCATTTTCCAAATTACTTACCACTAATTTCACATCGTTCCACTCTTTTGACATAATTTCTGTCGTCCGTTTATTCCTCTTTATCATTTTTTTTTAAAGATCTTTCTCCTCTTTATCGCGTCGAATAGCTCCCCCTCTATATTTTCTTTTTATCATGTCTTGCGACAATGTGCACATTTCTTGAATTTGACGACCACATCCCCTTCCTTAGAAACCAACACAGTTCCACATCCCCGCCCAGCTGCCAAAACAATTTCCCCCCCACTTAATCTCGTATTCATTCTGGAATGTCAGTGATGCTCGGATTTTTTTTTTTTTTTCTTCGGCTGCTCCCTCTGATAGCGGCCAATATGTCAGTTTCTTTTTACGCCTGGGATCACACGAACAAGACGAAATTCACCCACACAAACTGGCATCACCCCACCAGTTCGAACCTAACGACGAAACTGTAATGTTCTTTAACTGCAGACTTGATTCTCAGATATATGGAAAATGTCAGAGAAATGACCGTAGGGAGACATACAGAGAAATGAAGGAAAAGCAAGTAAACAAGGATGTAGAATTGGAATGAGAGTAGTGATGGCATCTACTCCGAATCCTTCATAAAAGTTCAGCATGTGGAATTAATAAAATCTAAACACTTCAGATACCTCGGTGTATAGATCAATTATAATAAATTTAGTATAGGAAATAAGGGAAATTGAACTCCGGATAGATTGAGCTATTTCGGTTCGACACTGTAATATGCTACAAGACCAAGATATTAACCTTAAAACTCAAATTATGTTCTTAAATAGCCTCGTCAATTCCTGACTTTCGTATGAATGTCATCCAGGGCATTCAACTCGACCAGAACTATCTAGACCAGTGTTTCTCAACCGGTGTTTCCAATTAACTTCAATGCGGGGTTCAGGTCGAAAAAAAGGTGTCTGAGTTTATACCTGTCACAAATGGTTATTGCTCGAATTTCCTCATTCTCCCACTTGTAACTTAAAAAAACTTTTTGCTTTGTTTTCTTTTTGCTGTGCATATGACGCGCAGGTTAACTTGAACAGCATATGGCACAAGGCCAGCTTTTAAATGGCTATCCCATTAGCAACAAAAATAGCTCGGCTTTCTCGACACTTAGCAATGCTTCAGGCAGCAGGAATTGACCGTGACTCTTCCCATCATTGCAATGCCTTGGGTTATGCTCTCCTATAGCCAAGCCTAATAATAGTAATGGTAATATTAGCCGTTTTCTTTTTACGAGGAAACATTCAGCATCCATTGATCAAGCAGCAAATGCCGCTATCAGTTGAAATTTATAAAATCTTTCTCTTAAAACAATTTTTCAGAATATTAGGTTTCACAAGTTCAGGAGGTGTTATCGCATTTTTCAGTATTGTTGGGGATTCTCTTCATAAAATGTTATTTAAAGTAGCATGGAACGTCAGATTGTCATTATTTTCTCTTCGAATTACATGTTATTCATTTTAATTGTTGGTAGCCTGTTATCTGGTAGACTTTCTTGTTTGTGATTCTGTGGCGCCAGTACACAGGATAGTCTTCGTAAAGTTCCGCAGGCATCTTCATTTTAGTACTTATATCTCGAGCTGTTTCTTGGACATCTCGAAAGCACTTGACAGTTTGGCATAGTATTCTTCTTCACTTACTTGATTTTAGTGTCCCGGACCTGCAAATCTCATTTCAGGCTCATCCTTTAACTGATAACCAGGCATTCTGTCTTGTAGTTTATACTTAATCTCTCTCCCTCCCTCTCTCTCTCCCTCCCTCCCTCCCTCTCTCCATCTCTCTCTCCCTCTCTCCATCTCTCTCTCCCTCTCTCCATCTCTCTCTCCCTCTCTCCATCTCTCTCCCTCTCTCCATCTCTCTCTCCCTCTCCATCTCTCTCCCTCTCTCTCTCTCTCCTCTCTCATCTCTCTCTCCCTCTCATCTCTCTCCCTCTCTCCATCTCTCTCTCTCCATCTGTCCCTCTCTCCATTTTCTCCATCTCTCTCCATCTCTTTCCATCCCTCTCTCCATCTCTCTCATCTCTCCTCCCTCTCTCTCTCCCTCTCTCTATCTCTCTCCCTCTCTCTCCATCTCTCTCTCCCTCTCTCCATCTCTCTCTCCCGTAGGTGGTTTTGTAGTTCCTTTTCCGTGTTTGCTATCAGTACTGCATCATCTGCGTATCTTATGTTGGTAAGATTGTGGCCGCCAATGATGAATCCCGGTGGGATCTCCAGTTCTCTCAGAATTGCCTCGCCGTATAGGTTGAATAAGTTTGGCGAGAAGACACATCCTTGCTTTACGCCCCTTTCTATTTTTGCATATTCGCTGAACTCATTCTCAATGGGCGGAACTGACGAACGACGGTAGGTGCGACGCTGAGATCCGAAGACTGACTGGGATGGCCAAGGATGCATTCGAAAACCTGGGTAGAGTATTGCGAGGCAGGAGGATTTCTTTGGAGACCAAAAAAAAAAGTGTACTGATCTGCTATGTGACATCTGTCCTGTACGGCAGCGAATGTTGGATGGTCTCAAAGATGAAGACTCTAGGCAGTGAACATGTGGTTCTACAGAAGGATGTTAAGGATGTCATGGAGCGAACGTGTGAGCAACGATGAGGTTTTGGAGAGGATGCAAGCAAGGAGGAAGCTTATAAAGAGGCAGATGAAATTTCTGCGGCATGTAATGAGAAAGGTGGGCCTGATACTCACAGGTCGAATAGAGGAAAAGAAACTAGGGAAAGCAACGTCAGGCTTACTCATATGGAGAGCCATGATCGCCTACGTCCTGAAAGGACACTGCACATAAAAAGAAAGAATTCTTCTTCACAAGTTTAATGTTTATGGTATTTCTGGGCGAATTCTTGAACTAATTCAGTCTTTCGTATCAAATCGCGCAATGAAAGTTGATTGAATGGCCACTCTTCTAGATCTTTTTTTGCGCTAATGCAGGTGTCTCCAAGGGCTCTATCGTTGAACCTATGTTGTTCCTAATTTTCATCAATGACCTTCTTGATGTAATTAGTTCTCAACTCGGTATCTATAATGGCACAACTACTCCCGTCCTAATAGGAAATCAGATCGGTTCGATAAAGTCAAATTTACAGCTGATCTCAAAAATGACCTACAATCTGCTATTAACCGAGGCGAGAAATAACTTAATTTTAACAGCTCCAAAACGAAACGGCTCATTATTGATCGTCTTTCGACCAGTATGGCTGATACTAACCTCCAAGAGAGTGACCCATTGCGTCTTTTCTGTTTAGCCTTCTCTGCTGACATGAAGTGGAAAGAGTATATCGAATCGATTGCTAAGTCTGCACCTAGGAAAGTTGATTCATTGTGTTGTGCTAGACAATTTTTCGACGCCAGAGTTAAGCAAAAATGAAAATAACACTGACATCTCATTTTGACATGTATTTACCAAAATTACACAAAAATATCTTGAAATACTAAACAGTAAATTTATTCAGTAAAATCGCCATTGGCTTCAATCACTGTCCCCAGACGACTTCGAAATCTCCTGAATTTTTTTTCTGGACGGTCTCCTTGTTTAAGTTGGGGTTCCAAGGAGTTTTATTGGTCTCTCACTCAACTGCGCCTCACACATAATAATCAAGGTGGGTGCAGTCTGAAGAGTAAGGGGTGATGTGGTCGCAGAAATAATATGAAAGTTATGACTAGGTTATCCTGCTTGTGTGGCTTGGTGCAGAGTCCTGTTTCCAGACATTGGGTCTTCTAGAAGCCATCCTCTTGACACTGAACAGCACTACCTCCTCAAAGCACTTGATGTAAGCCTCATACGCTTACCATTCGTCTTTGCTTTGAATATTTTGGGCGCATATGGTCTGGTACACCTGCTATATATTAAGATACTTGATAAAATCCAATGAAGAATCTGCAGTGATATTGATCCTGACATAGCATCTAGACTTCAGTCAATTTCCCACCACTGTAATGTATCTTTTTCTCTAAATACTTTTATGGTAATTTTTCTGGACTTTCCTCTATGGTAACTAGATTTATGAATTTAAGCACAGTAATGGATTATCAACAATATCTCATTTTACAGTTGAAATGACTAAATATAACCGTCAGTTCTAGGCTAACAGTTTTTCTCTTACTTCTTACTTGTGGCACTCTTTTCCGGCCTTTTACTTTGTCAACTTCAGTTATAAAAATTTTAAATACAATGTCAATCATTATTTTCTTTCTTAATTCCTATTTTATTAATCCTGCTTCTTAATGTTTTTCTTATATTCTCTCACACTCGTTAACCTTCTTGTATTAGTAGCTTTATTGCCCTACTTAGGGTGAGATATATATATATATATATATATATATATATATATATATATATATATATATATATATATATATATACATAAATTGGCATAAATTGTCTAAATTAAGCAAAAATGAAAATAACACTGACAGCTGATTTTGAAAGATATATTTACGAAAATTACACACAAATATCTTGAAATACTAAAGAGTAAATTTATTCAATAAAATCGCCATTAGCTTCAACCACGTCCCCCAGAGAACTTCGGAACCTCTTGCATCTCTTCTGGGTGGTCTCCTTGTTTAAGTTTGTGAATGCTGCCATAATACTTGCGTTCATTTCATCTTTGGTATTACAAGGAATTTTATTGGTCACTCGCTCAACTGCGTCTGTCACATAATCAAGGGTAGGGATACAGTGTGTCACATAATCAAGGGTAGGGATACAGTGTGTCACATAATCAAGGGTAGGGATACAGTGTGTCACATAATCAGGGTAGGATTACAGTGTGTCATATAATCAAGGGTAGGGATACAGTGTGTCACATAATCAAGGGTAGGGATACAGTGTGTCACATAATCAAGGGTAGGGATACAGTGTGTCACATAATCAAGGGTAGGGATACAGTGTGTCACATAATCAAGGGGGGGATACAGTGTGTCACATAATCAAGGGGGGATACAGTCTGGGGAGTTAGGTGGCCAGATGTAAGGGATGATATGGTCGCAGAAATTGTCTGATAGCCACTGATTGATTCTTTTAAAAAAAATTTTTATTTTAAAGATTTGGGGGAAAATAATGATTTATTGATACAAATCCTACTGATTAAACCATAGATGAAGGGAGAAGAGGTGGATTCATACGCGCAATTGTTCTTGGTAAAGGTAATGTTAAGTGACTATAACCCGACTGGAATTGGAGCTCTGTTCTCTGATTTTCAATTCCGAACCGTTATCCATTACACCACCCGCACATCCAAGCTTACAGTACCTGATATTCTCAAGCGGTCAATCATCGAGGTACTTTGCTTAACTTCAGTGATCGTACAAGTTCCGGTGTTTCAACGTGATATGGCCGTAAGTCCGATGTTTCGGGTTTTAATGCAAAATGAACACGCACTACTTCCGTCTGAATTCGAACTCTGATCGCAGATCCTATTTTTGCATGCTGTTTTTTTTTGTTTTTGTTTTGCGGGGGTGGTGGAGGGAGGGTTCTCATCATTCCACTTCAAGCAAGGCGCGAATGCCACTAGTACGCATATGGTTACAGAGTGAAGGTGAAAGACAAAACTGGCTATAGGGGGAGACCGAGGAACTGGTTCAAAAAGATGGCGATTGAAGTTTTATTTCAATTTTTGAAGATTGCAGCTATCAGGGAAGCAAGAAAAAGGAAGAGAGTTCTACAGACGGGAAGTGCAAGAAAAACTGGAACAGAAGTGGCGGTTACATTTACCTTATTCAACAGTAAAAGGGTGGGATGCCAAACTAATAGCACATTTAAACTCACGTAGCCCGAGCACCAGGAGAGGAAAAAGCTTATCAAAGCCATGAAAATATTTGTAAAAAAAGACAGAGGGAAGCCACATCACGACGGTGTTAACGGTTAGATCAACTACATATTTTAATGTATTATCTTATTTTATATACCATATCCTTTTGTAGATGATGATGACTCTTCACTACTTCCACTCTTTAGTGATTCTAATTACTAACATCTTTTCATTGTCATTGTTCAGACATTCATTCACTCAAACGTGTTAAGTTGGTTCAGTTAGTCAGTTTTGTGCCATGCGTGATACACGCTTAGGCGATCATCTGTCTTTCGATACATGACTGACGAGGCAGATTTTTCCCCACAGTAGGTTGCTATTTCTTTCTGCGGTAGACCAGTTGCCATCCAAGGCCATAGAACCCGGTCTTTCCTGCTATCTACCCATAGCTAGTGGGAGAAAAAAAATAATTCATATCTTTCCCAAGGGTATTAGCACGTAAGTGAATGTAATGAATTCGACTGAAATTCGAATTCAATCAGATCCGCTTTCCATTACTCCACTGTTGGTTAGTAGCTGTTATTGAAAACAACAGAGCCAGGGGGGAATATATCCTGTGAGTATTAAATTCTTTAGGCCTTCTTTGCTACAGTTAAATCCTATTGAAGCCACCGGTTCCCGATCGATCACAGGCTTTTAGCAACGTCTTCCTGTCAGTACTTAGAGAGGACGGTTGGCAACACCGGGTACTGTAAGCAACTTGACACAATCTGAAATATGCTTCGGCTTTAAATAATCCACAAAGGCTTGATAAGCCGTAAAAACATCAACGAACGTTACTTTTGTGTATTTCTGATTGTTCGCGGCTCCTTTTGTAGTTCTTAAAATTTCTTTGTTGCTAAAATGATCTGCCAACAGTATTCTCCTGTAGAACTACACCTCTGACGGTTCAAGTCTCTTCATTTCTGAGGTTGCTGCCCAGCATCCATATTTCGCTATTCCAATATTACTTCGGATTTCCGTGTCTCACATTCCGTTTATTACTATACTTTCCAAATTTCTTCCTCGTTCTAATTCGGGAATAGATAAAAAGTTAGTTAGACATTAAATTAGGTATCTCTACAAAAAAGTAAATAAATAAATAAAAACACACGATACGTTAGGTTTAAAATTAATTTTTAAAAATGAAAAATTGTTTATTTTAATTTCAAGCTTATGGATTAATTTTTAATATTTTCAATAAGCAAAATACTTTGCTGTATAAAAAAATTAATTTAAATTGACAGGAAAGACGATTTTGTTTTGAAATCGCTGACTTCAGTACCATTTTTCGCCATTTATTGTCACAATGTAA